GAAGGGTTACTAGAATGGTGCCTGGGATGGAGTAGTTGTTATATGAGGAGAGGTTGAAATCTCTCAAATCATTTTCTTTTGAAAAAGAATGGTTAGAGGGAATTTGAATGAGGTGTTTAAGATTTTAAAGGGAAGTGATAGTGTTGATGCATTATCTTTTTTTCGTACTTATCAATGAGAACTGTAGGACTAGGGGACATAAATACAAATTTTTGCAAGGTACGAGTCATCTTCACCTAAGACAGTTTCATTTTTCTAACAAGGTGGTTGGCCTTTGAAATGGGTTGCCTTCAGTTGTTGTAGAGGCAGTAAATTTAAGTGAGTTTAAGAAAAAGCTTGATAAATATGAAAAGGGCTGGGTTTAAATTTTTTTATTTTATTTTTTTAAATTAGTTTTGAGGATGGAACAGCAGAGATGGACCAATAGGTCCCATGTTGTCCCAAAATATTATGTTATGTTACTAGTAGTAGTAGTACCACACTATCAGTTCTAAATTTTGGTGCTGTTTCAACTTTTATAAATTTCTTTTATTTATCTAACCTAGTAGAAAAGAAAAGCAGTCTTCTAGTTCTAAGTAAGTATCAGGACTAACAATCTCGATATTATTGATTATGTAAGATAGACTTGTGAGAGTTAGAATCGAGTTGATGTAACTGAGTCTGACTCTTAGAGTAGAACTTGTAAGATTGACTAGATTTCATTAATATTTCTCCTCTAGGACAATACTGATGGAAATAATAGGTTTAGCAAAGATAGTTAATACAGTTAAAAAAATTGCAGGTTGTAATTGTGCACAGTACATTAATATTACTAACAAGTTTAGTGAAAAAAAAAAAGGATTTATTGTCCATGAGTTATATAAATTAAGGTTGTTCTTATACACACTTTGGCTAGATCTCTACGTAATGATTTTTCTGAAAGCCTAATTGTAAAATTCAATAAACTGGCTTATTAATTAGTGTTATAATTTTAAAACTTTCATGAAGCTGCAAGTATATATATTTGTGTGTGTGTGTCTGAAGTGAATTTACAATAATTTTTAAGATATTTGTGTGCATGAAATCTCTTTATGTAGTTTAATTATGTTAAGAGCGATTCAAAATAAGGTGGATACTGGGTATATAAACTGTTTTAAATGTGAATATATTAATTTTAAAACTACATAAGCTGTATTATATATAAATTTTGTATACAATGTTGGATAGACAGACAATGTGAATTAAAGTGTAATTATGATAATTTAACCGTTCAAGTTAATTAACTCTAATCATTAATAAGTTTTGTTTCATGACTTTGCATACTCCTAGTACAGTAAGAATCTTGTATTGGATGAATTATGTTGATTATTGGATTAATGCTTAGTACTGATCTGTGTATTTAGCTTGCTTTGGTCAAAAGTTACTGATAATCACTCTCTACTTTCTAAACAATCCATAACTTGGCCAGGTTAATGTTCCTGTGTTTGGACTTTTAATGCCTATATATATATATAATACCTTTGATATTTAATTCTGTTTCCTACCTTATTATTCCATCAATCAAACACACTTCCTGTGACATTTTATCTTAGCCCTAAGAATTTTCTAATCCTGAATGAAGTTGCTTCTAGTTTTCTATGTTTCAGTAGAAATTGTAGTTCATATTTTTGAACCTTTTTTACGTAAGTTTGATTAGTAAAGTAGCTTTTATTTTAGTGCCCTAACTCTGGATCCTTTCTGTGTCAGTGTTTTACCTATATTAGGAGGATCAAAATGTGAATAAAGTATTCTGAAAGAACTCATCAAAGTATTTTACTGTGAAAGAAGTTCATTTTTACTTTTAAATTAAAATGTTTATAAATCGAAGCTAGAACTTTATTAGTTCTTTTGACAGCTAATTTTTAGTATAATCAGCAAATCTGAATAACTGGATGTCATAGCAATTGATCCAAATTTAGACATGCAACAAGGAATTGTTTAAAGAGAGGGCTCACTTTTAATCAACAAATTTCTATTGTTGATAAGGAGATAATGTAATATTTATATTGTAGATTAAAATACACATGGTTTTAAAAATTATTATATAATACAATACAAGATAATTTTTTTATTTTTACCTTATTTTTCAAATTATTTAATTTTTACAAGATGATGACAGGAAGTTTCTTCTTTTAAATAATATTTGACCGTTATAAAAAAGAAATACATAAAAATAATTTACTGAAAATAAATTCAGATTAATTGAGCCCTGTGATATAGCTATAGAAATATGCAAAGTTATTTTTTGTGTCAGTAATATACTCTTTAGATGCATTGATTAAATTTGTGAGCTAAACAAAGAGTTCACACAGTTGAAACATTGAAATGAAGCTGTAAATGTCTTCAATGTGTATTTTACAATAGTTACTGAGTGAATAACAAATAAAAAAGTGTAATTCTTGTTGTTTTAAAGCAGTTCACATTAGAGACAAGTATTTATTAAGTATATTATTAAATATTACTTTTCCTACAATATATTTTTTTGCCCAAATTTTGGAAAGCTTATGGCTACGGTAAGGGTTTGAGCCCTTAAGCCCTTCCTTTCATTACAAATATGTCTAAATCACTGTAATAATCATAAGAGATGACCAAAGTCCCAGAACAGATTACAACTTGTGTTTTTTTCGACCAAAGGTGAACCGTGTACCTAACTATTGTTTAAAACCAGCATCTTGAGAATCCGAACCTTTTAGCTTTTTGTGGGGACCTTATTGAAGACTATAAATACAATTAATTTTTATATATTTTTTGATGCAAAGATTTATATGGTTATTATGGACTTCACTTTTTGTTTCTTTCTACTTTATGACCTTTTAAAAACAAAAAAACAAGAAATCTCAGATACTCAAAGCTGCACACGTGACTTGCGTGACTCCATGGGTAGTGCAGGAAATCTTTGATTTTTGTAGTGATTAGGTTACTATGGTGAATCTGATATTAGTGGTGTGTGAGGTTTATATGTATGTGCAAAGATAAGAAAAAAAGACCGGTGTTGTATTTATTTTGTTAGAAGGAAATTTGGTATCGTGGTCACACCTCGTTCACCAAAATATTAAGACCAACTTAAAGTTATGTTACAGACTAGTAACTTGAAACTTATTGCATGTGAGACATTTTAATAAAATGCAACATGGACCTTTTATAAATGTATCGGAGAAAATAAATAATTTTTGTATTCATGCAGGATTTTTGAGTATCATATAAAATGGTGAAATATCCATTCTCTTGCCAAAAATGTGTAATAATTATGAAACATGTAATATTGTTATCAGACGTAATTTGCTGACAACTGGAAAGAAGGTGCCTTATATTCTCACACAGAGACAGTGAAAATGTCCGATGATAAAACTTAAGCAATTCCTTAGATTGTGAAGTAGAGGCATGTTGAAATGTTAAAAGTAAGACCTCATAGTCTGTTGGACTCGGTAATATACAGAGCAAATTAAAAGGGCAGGAGCTCATTGACAAAAAAAAGGCACTTTTTAAGCATCCTAAGGCAAGCAAGGTGCAGAATCAGGCATATATTTTAGTAGATATTGACAATTTTTTTTTAGGATTAAGAAAAAGGGCACTTTTATGGTGTATGTGGCTGGCTGTACTACAGCTGTATCAGTAGAAAAATTATTTTGCCCTATCTAACCTGCAGTAAACCTGTTTCTAGGTGTATCTGTAAAGGATATTCTATTCTGGTATATCACATGACATAATTAGAAACCTTAATTTTCTTAGTGCGATTAGCTAGCTCTTATAGAGATAGATATGTGTAGGAATATTTTCATTAAAGCCAGTAATATTTTTTTAAAATCTGTGTTTATACAAGAGGGAATCTTCAATAGTTGTGGCTGCAATTAGATCTGAAATTTGTCAAGAGATGGAGCTAGGAGCTAAAAGTTTGTACTTGAAAAAGAAACTCGGATCCATTCTACGAGCTGCTATGCCATGGCTAATAAGAAAGACCTAAGTCAGATAAGACCATTAAGTACATTGAGTCCCTCTTCCATTCACTAGAAACAATCAGGCTTTCAAACCCATGCATGTCACCTTAAAAATATGTAAAATAATCTAATTTATGATTAGAAATGAAAGTTAAACTGAAAAGGTATTGTGACTGCACTGTAAATAAAAAAATAGTCATAACATAATAAACAAATTTATTGATAAATCCACAGCAGAGAATAAATACGACACATGAATAATCGACACGTGGCTGAGTAATCTTATGTGAATGAATCAGTCTTCTAATGAAAATAGTTTAGTGATGTAAATGAAAACCTTTTCGATCTAAGCATTTGTTTTGTGAGAATTATATCGATCATACTATTTACTTATTAATATCTAAAATCATACGTAAACATTTTTCGGACAGAAATAATGATTTAACAAAATGTAATCATATGCAACTGTTCTTAGCAAAAAAAAATTACTTGTACCTCTTTACTTCCCTGTATCAACCTCGTATGTTTTTTTTAACATAGAAGTAATTCAGTATAACAAAATACATATTCTTTAAGTACGTGATTAGATCTCGGAGAATACCTGAAATTGAACATTGATTTAAGATCAGTAAAGGAGCTTAAAGTATAAGCATTGTTTGCCTTCATAAGCTTACTGTAGATGAAAAATTTATTTAGAAAAAATAACAAGATATTGAATATCAAAAGAAACAATTTTCACTGACTAATTATACATTATACAGCATATAAATAAACAAAGATTGATAGGTTATATCATATCAGATGTTTCATAGATAACTGGTACTTCATAGCACTTATCCGATATTTTCAATTTATTTCTTTTATCTTGGGTATCTAATTTCTTTTTTTTTATGTTCTTTTACAGAAATAAACTGATTGAAATAGTTCCAGTAGTAGAATAAGAACCCAGAAAGAAGAGAAACCTCGATATTGTGTTTATTTGATCAAACATTTCCCAAACTACCCTCATTGTAAATCTTTAACGCGCTATGCCTGCATTAGGAGGAGAGACAATATCCGTGAAGTCAGAAAATCAACACGTAGAAAAAAACAATCAGAAGACCATTACAAATAGCAACCACTATCAAGCTCGATCACTAACAGTGGCGGGAACACAGTATAATGTGCCTCCTGGAGTGCTTAAAGGTATTTTGTATTCTAAAAAAATGTGCTTTTAATATTTTACCTTAATTGAAGGAATAACTAAATCACCATGAAAGAGCATGTAATCTGTGAGACATTAAACTCCTGATGCTTACCTTCCTGATGCAATACGGTTAATATGGTATTAATAGTGTGGATTTTAATGAAGACTACACCTACTTCCCATTCATTGCTATTTCGTGACAGTTTTCTTTACATTATGAGCAATGTGTAAAATGATAATAGATTAAGACTCAAATTTAAGAACATAAGAAAGATGATCACCCCCTTAACTTACCAAAACAACACAATTAAACCGTATGAAGCTCTTTACATCCACAAATTTGTATAACAAGACGATCCAACAGATCTGAATATACACTTCTAAATATTTATAAGATTCAAGTTTGTGCTTCTGACCTTTTATATTTTATTCCACCACTAAAACAGACCTTCGATGGGCAAATTATTGAAATGGATAAAAAAATTTGAAATGCATAAATCAAGCAATTTTTTATGTCTCTATATGTGGTGCAAACTTCTTAAATTGAGTATCATTGTAGTATTGCATCTCTGTACTCTTTCGTGCAAGTTGATATTTTTGTTGCTGTAATGGGAGGAGAAAAAAACTGCACAAAGTACTCTAAATCAGTGGTTTCCAACCATTTTACTTCTGAGGACCAACTAGTTCCAATCCCAAAATTTTACAGACCAATTTGTACAATATTAACTTTTTAAAGTACTTTTATATGGCAACTGGTAATTTCACTCCCAATCTAAAAAAAATAAAAAAATCATGAACATTAAAAGTGACATATATTAACAAATCAATATTAAAAATGACACTTATTAAAGATTATTACAAATGATGCAGGTTACGAGTAAAAACAAAGTCAATCTTGTCATCTGGATTATATCTAGCAAGGAGAACTTCAGGTCTTTGTTCACTTCTTTATACTTATTTTTATAGTAATAGTAATAAATTTGATATACATTAAGGTTTGATTTAAGTAGTTTAAAATCGAAAATTTAATTAAAGTACTTTTAAAATCTAGTATAAGAAAGCATTTTAATTTAAAAATTTTAAACTTCCACAAGATGGCACCATCAGTGACATGGAAGTGTTATTACTTTGGAAATTTATTTCAACTCCAAACAAAGAAGAATGCTTGGCACAATTGAATGTCATTTTCAATGTTGTTTATATATATATATATGTCACTTTTAATGTTATAATTCTTTTTTTTTTTAATGGGGGAGTCAAATTACCTAGAATCATTGTATATTACATTGTAAAACATTATACTTCAGTAGCTATATTTAGAAAAAAAAAATTTTTTTCAACTGTCTTATGGATCATGTTTAATACCAGCTAAAATGAGGGTATTGATTGGTAGTGTTAGTAAAATTCCTGAAGATGGAGTGGATGAAGCTGAACGTTCATATTTGCTGGAAGAAATTGCTGTATCTTCTGCCTCACTTATTGATTTATATATGTAAACAGATTAACTTAGTCCTCACTTATTGATTTAGATATGTAAACGGATCAACTTATCCTCACTTATTGATTTATATATGTAAAGAAATTAACTTAGTCCTCACTTATTAATTTATATATGCAAACAGATTAGCTTAGTCCTCACTTATTGATTTATATATGCAAACAGATTAACTCAGTTCTCGGTTATTGATTTATATATGTAAAGAGATTAACTTAGTCCTCACTTATTGATTTACATATGCAAACAGATTAGCTTAGTCCTCACTTATTGATTTATGTATGCAAACATATTAGCTTAGTCCTCACTTATTGATTTAGATGTGCAAACAGATGAACTTAGTTCTCACTTATTGATTTAGATGTGCAAACAGATTAACTTAGTCCTCACTTATTGATTTAGATATGTAAACAGGTTAACTTAGTCCTCACTTATTGATTTATGTATGTAAAGAGATTAACTTAGTCCTCACTTATTGATTTAGATATGTTAACATATTAACTTTGTCCTCACTTATTGATTTAGATGTGCAAACAGATGAACTTAGTCCTCACTTATTGATTTAGATGTGCAAACAGATAAACTTAGTCCTCACTTATTGATTTAGATATGCAAACAGATTAGCTTAGTCCTCACTTATTGATTTACATATGCAAACAGATTAGCTTAGTCCTCACTTATTGATTTATATATGTAAAGAGA